TTGCTCGGGGTCCCGCTCCGCCACTCCGCGAGACCCCCCTGCATGCAGCCGGAGCAGCCGGCGGTAGCCAGGGCGCGAGCCCCGCTGCTTCCCCTCCCGCGCCTCGCCGCGCCTCGCCGCGCCTGCCTGTTTGCGACCCCCTCAGCCTAGACCGCGCCGCGGAGAGGAGAGGCGAGGCGAGGCGAGGCGAGGCGAAGAGGGCATTTCGGGCCGGCGGAGGAGACAATGAACAACGCCAAAAGCGAGCAAGAGCTCAGCCCGGCCGAGGCGAACCTGCAAGAGGAAGAGGTACCTGCCCGCAGCGGGGAGGCGGTGGCTTAGCCTGATGCCTTTCGGTCTTTCCTTTCTGAGCGCCACGGTGATATTGGGGAGCCCTCGAAAAAGTTTTGGGAAATAGGAAGGGTCACTTCGGAGCGGGCAGCCTCGGTTGATGCTGTGCTTTCTGGCCCCCGCCCGTAGAGTCCATTGACACTTGGCTCCGTCCGCTTCTGAGGCTAGAGAGATTGCGCAACCTTTGCGAAAACGAAAGAGCTTCGGGTGTTCCAAATAGCATCGCTTGTGGACCGCTCCTGAATTTCTAGAAGTTGGTGGAGAGGGAGTTATTACATATATCTTGGAAGATTGGAAGGAGGAAAAACAATCTCCAGAGTACAGTAGTTTCGTCCCGTTGGAGTCATGTGTTTCTTTCCCTGAATCTAGTGCCCGCAGCAAACCGGTCGTTAAAAGCAGCATGTTCCTTTAAAAACCAGGCGCCCAGATTAATAGATAACGTATCGAGCGCATTCTTTTCCGATGAGTTAAGATGCGGAAAACTTGTATAATAACTTGGATAAATTTTAATTCACAGTGTCATATACAGGAAAGGTTGTAATAAAACAAAATAAAAAGTAGGTTAGTTTTGCAGCTGCAGGTTAACAGTATCCAGTGGTTTAGCAACCTGATTCTATGTATGTTTGCTTTGAAATAAATATTTCCAGGAAAGTGCATGTTTTCCAGGTGTGCAGTCTTGCACATAAGTATTCAGAAGTAAGTTCTGAGTTAAATGGAATTTAATTCCCATATAAGTAAATAGGATAGCATTTAAGCTTTCTACACACTAACTGGTTACCAAGTGATAAGACCTATTTAGATAAGAATAAAATATTAATACTTTTTTCATATTCTCATATTTACTGAACTTATACCAGTACTTGTAACTCAGAAAATAAGGTTCATGTAATTTTGAAAAGGTAGGCAGAGTTTTATGTCTTTAAAAGTTGTACATTTTTAGGGGGGTTAATAAATTTACTACCTGCTTAGGTATGTGTTTGGATAGTACAAGCTAATACTATGAGAGTGGTGGCTATCTTGAAATTATAATTTTTCTCTTTATAAAATGCAGTTGTTTAAATAATAGAGTGACAGACATTCAAAACTCAATCTAGGAGGACCAGGACATGATGTTGATTTGTGAGAGAAACTTTGTTTTTCTTTGTGACTATATCAGAAGAGAAAAGAAATATAATATTACTCATAGTTTTGGGAATTTGGTAAGACAGTTGTAATTAGCTATATTAACAATATAGGCATATCATAATCAGGAAGGGAATAATTTTGGGAAAAATAAGATTCTTCATATAAATAATATTTCTACTTGTCAATGGGAATTGTATTTAAATTGTTTTAAAAGAAAACAAATCTGTTGATTTCTTCATTGTTTGCTATAAATAACTTTCTACACACTGACTGGTTACCAAGTGATAAGACCTATTTAGATAAGAATAAAATATTAATATTTTTTTTCATATTCTCATATTTACTGAACTTATACCAGTACTTGTAACTCAGAAAATAAGGTTTTTATAACATATTGGAATCTACAATTTAAGAAGATAATTTTTTAAAAAAGCTTTTAAAAACTGCACAGTAAGTCTGTATTTATGTTCAGAGCTAGTATAATCTAGCCAATGGCCTTTTCTTAGATTTGGTGATTTGGAATCTTTATTATGCACTTATTTATTTACTTAGCTTTTTTATCATCTGGGAAGAGAAAGTTCATAATATCATCATCCTGAAATCTTCCTACACTGTGATCAGTTTCCATGATTTTATTATGGAACTCTGGTTTCATGTTTTTATTGTAGAATTCTGAAGTTGTGAAGCAGAGTATTGTTACAGGATGTATCTGCATGGCTATCAGACAAGGCATATCCTTTCTTCCAGTAATGCCAATTATGGGGCATGTTTGCTTTTAGAACCAAAGTGAAGAGCATTTCAGAGGGCCTAGAAGTAGGGAAGGTCTTAAAAGAACTCTACTGTATAGCTCTTCCCAAGAAGCGATATTCAAGTACCCATTGCTTTTCTAGCAGCAGGAGGTAGAACAGGTACCTTTATTTTAAGAACCCATTGTTTACTGTTTTATAGTATAATTAGGAATATCAGACAAAGAGAGGTATGTTAATTTAAAACTCCTATCCGATGTTATTCTTTAGCATTTGTATTATGTAGGATTGACTTGAATTTTGACAATGATTCCAGGAAAAGAGCAGCTACTTTAAAAAGTTGCACACTGGGACACTGTTCAGCCCCATGAATTCTAAAACACCTTTTTGGAATTGAATGTGAAGCACTGTATGGCTCTTTACAGCAAAAACAATTACCAAAAAAAGGAAAAAAAGGACAATCCTTTTCTCAGAATATCTGACCCCAATAAAATTTGATGGTGATAGTATAGAAAAATAAATGTGCTTCTAAGGTGGGCAGAAACTTGATACACTATACTAAGAGTTTTTCCCCCCCTCAGATATTTGAAAGGCATCTATTCATATTTAGCTTCATACAGTTGCACGTTCTAATGCTAAATCTTGGTAAATGGAAGTATGGTATAAATGAAAGTGAAAATAAGTTGTAGAACTAATGAGAACTGTACTCCCACTCAATCCATTTTGGGGGATACAAACCAGCTTGGTAACTTAATTGCTAATATTCTTGCATGCTCCTATTGCTCTTACCCTATAAAAGTGTGCTTACTTCACTGACTTATTCAAGATAGTATATTCCGTGGAGATTCCCAGTGACAACATGGGGAATGGAAACTAAAGGTTAAAATTTATGTAATATGTAGCATACATTTTTCTTTAAAGCATGGTGACCTGATCCATGGGAGGGAGGTGTTTCATTCTTTCCCTAAAACTATTTTCCCAAAATGCTCTTCTCCCTAAGGCTCCTGTAGTAGGATGGCAGTACATTGCCTACGTCTGCATTGACAAACTAGATAAATATGTTTCAGCATATTTTGTCAACCCAGCCCAGGTGGTCAGTGTGCTATGTGAAACTAGACACTGAGTTAAGTAGGTAAACCCTTTGTGAGGAAATGGAAGCCATGTAAACACAACAAACCAACATAGCTACTTCTCTGCTTGTTTTCTGATTCAGGAGCATTAACCTTGGGCATATGTAACATGAAGGGTTACATACCAGTACCCTAGAGCCATTTCAGTGATCAAATGAGGAATTAGAAATCAGAAACTGCTGCTGTGAGGTAAAGAAAAACATTGCAACATACTACATCTTGTCTGATTTTACAAAAACAAATAAATCTATGGCTAAGGTCAGACATGAATCCAAGTTTCCATTTCCAGAGCTTATGTGTTTCTAATGTACCATCTTGTGTTCAGGATCAGTTGCAAACTGAAGACTCTTTGTGACTAATGGGAACTTCTGTCATGTCCTGGCAGGTGAATGATGTTATGTAGATTGGCTAAAACTGATTGTGTAACCAGGATAATACATGGACAGAAAAAGGGTAGTGGTCTTGAAAGAATGTTTTGTGAAATTCCCAAACTAAAGTACATGCCTTTGTTTCTTAAAGTTTGGAAAGTCCAACCTTTGAATTACTCCTACAGTTTCAAAAGATTATGGCCATTTCTAATAGTGCTAAATGGAGAGTTTCCTGAAACTATATTAAATGAAAACAAAAATGTGTAGGCTGTTTAAGAATTTGATATTAAATTTTGTCTGAATTAATGCTACTCAAAATCAATTCTAATTCCAGTACTCCTAGCAGAAGGACTAGAAAGATTTGTTTGTTTTTTGAGGACTGGACAACCATGCCCTTTTTATAAAATTACTGAGGGAGTATGGTTGACCATCTTTACCAAGTAGTAATATTTGTGTTATTTTACCAAGGGGTTTCTTGGTTTTCTGAGTTATTACACATATAATATAGATTTTTGCTACTATAGATTCTTGGTAGTGAATCTAGGATGGTTTGCAAATGAGGCTTTCATGCATTTTTCTATATGGTGAAGTAGCTATCTGTTCTCAGGCCAGGTTAATAATGTTGACTACCAAATAGCAATGGATCTTGGTATATGTCTATAGAGCCCAGTTACAAAACTTGTATCCTTGGTTCTCCATTAGTATTTCTCAGAGAAAAAGAGAGAGAGAGAGAGAAATTGAATTGTAATTTCAAATATTCTAATATTTTGTTAGTCATGATGATCAGAGAAGATTTGAGGCTGTTTGTGCCTGTGTGGTGAGATCCTAATTCATTATAGGGAATCACATAACATGCTAACCTAAGAATGTGATTTGTTTGATTTTATTATTTATTATCAATTTTATTTGTACATAGTTTTCCTTTTAATGAAGCTTAGAGATCAGTACAGTTTTCTTCCATAAATTAAATGTTATAACATAAAAGAAAACAATAAAAGCAAGAATTATGCAACATCCAACAATACAATAAATTTAGTTTAAAAGGCACCCAGGTAAACAAGCATGTTTTAAGTTGTTAAGTTTAAAATTAGTATGGAAAGTAGTTGCACTTCCCTTTGGAAAGAATTCCAAAATTGGGGCACCACTACTGAAAATACACTAACTCTGGTTCCATACTGTGACCCAGAACCACATTTGGGACCATGATCAAGACCTCTTCAGCTGATTCTAACAGACTGGTTAGTTATTATTGGTTTTGCCTTAATTTGTTATGTGAATTCAGTCAATGTGGCTTATAAAATATGGCTTATGGTTTATTATATTATGTGAACTTAATCAAATCTTGGCTTAGTATGATACATTAGCACAGGCAATGTGTCCAAAATTGTTTTGCAGGTGTGCATGTGGGTGGCAAGAATACCATTATTTTATCATTATAATTTTGCCCTGATTGATAGATAGTGGTGATCTGTTTTTGGTATGGCTTTAAAATGTGAATATGGTAGAACTACAGCTAGTCCTTGCTTAATGACCATTCATTTAATGACTGTTCAAAGTTACCACAGTGCTAAAAAAATGACTTACGACCG